TTTTATTCTCGTCCTCACCAAAGCAATGAAGTAATGAAAATGTGCACGGCATCACCCTTCGTGCTTTTACTCTTGTCCTCACCAAAGCAATCAAGTAATGAAAATGTGTACGGCATCACCCTTCGTGCTTTTACTCTCGTCTTAACCATATAATCAATATAATCAGCACATAATGGTACATCGTGCGGTACGGCATCACCCTTCGTGCTTTACACTCTTTCCTCACAAATCATACACGATATCACCCTTCGTGTTTTAACACTCTTACTCACTCAAACAACAATCATAAATAATAGGGCAAGGGAATAAATGAAATTACAATAAGAATCCAAGCAAAGGAACAATAGTTCAACAATAAAGTCCCGACAAGGGAATAATATCAAAAGAAGCATCAACATTCTGGCTAGGGAAATAACATTAAAAACAATAAATTCTTGGCAAGGGAGATAATATAATGATTCTCTTCTCTTTTACACTTTTATTTCTCAACTCACTTCACAACTTGAGTCAATGCTCTAAAAGGTTCAGTTACCACTTATACTTTCACATTTCATTATACAACTTGAGTCAACGCTCCTCACTATTCAAATGTCACAATTACTTCCACAAACTTTTTCCAACAATATAAATCATCATCAAAGCATGAAAAATACCACGAAGTCATAATAATCACAATATAAGACTCACGGGTATGCTTGACACCAACGTATAGATACTCATCACCATGCCTATACATCGTACTCGACAAATACCACATAGCAAATAGGACTCGACTCCTAATCCCTCAAGTTAAGGTTAGACCAAACACTTATCTCGATGCCACGAACACAATTCAAGCCTCAACTATCTCTTTACCTCTTGATTCTACCACCAATTTGCTCGTATCTAGCCACAAGTTACTTAATTATATCAATAAACACTAAATAAATTAATGCCAATGCATGAAGATAAGTTTTCCGAAGTTTTACCCAAAAAGTCAAAAATTGCCCCCGGGCCCACATAGTCAAACCCGAGGTTCGAACCAAAACCCGATTATCCATTCCCCTACGAACCCAAATATATAATTTGTTTTAAAATCGGACCTCAAATCGAGGTCCAAATCCCTAATTTTTGAAAAACCTAGGTTCTGCCCAAAACACCCAATTTCCCCAATAAAAATCATTGATTTTGAGTTGAAATCATGTGAAAAGATGTTAATGATTGAAGGAAACGAGTTAAAATTGACTTACAATCAATTTGGAAGAAGAGTTGTCTTTGAAAAATCGCCCAAGAGTGTTTTGGTTTTGAAAGAGTGTGAAAAATGGTTGAAATGCGTCTAAGTTATGAACTTACAGGTCTCTGATATCGTAATTGCGACCAGGGTTCGCAATTGCGAACCCCTCAGAAAATTGGACTTTTGCATTTGCGATCCACTCGGATTTCTAGTCATCATCGCATTTGCGAGAAAACAGTCGCATTTGTGACTCAGGCTGCCATGTCCATTCTTCGCATTTGCGAAGGTTCATCGCATTTGAGAGCCAGGCTTCGCATTTGCGAAGCCTGCAGACCTGACCACACCACCTGAAAACCTGCAATTTTCCAAGTCTAAAATCCACCCCATGGCCTATCCAAAACTCACCTGAGCCCGTGGGGCTCCAAACCAAATATGCACACCAAATTAAAAACATCATACATACTCGCTCGTGCATTCAAATCACTAAAATAACATCAACAACTATAAATTTAGCATCAAAATCATGAAATTTCTTAAGAACTTCAAATTTTCCAAATCTTCTCAAAAACGATCTAATTCACGTCGTTTCAAGTCTGTTTCTTACCAAATTTCACAAACTTATCTTAAATCACATATAAGACATGTACCGGGTACCGGAACCAAAATACATGCACGATACCAATGGTTTCAAACATAAATTCTCTTCTTCACTTCATAATTAATTCAGCAAAACAATTTCTTTCAAAAATTCATTTCTCGGACTTGGGACCTCGGAATTCGATTCCGGGCATACGCCTAAGTCCCATATTTTCCTACGGACCCTCCAGGACCGTCAAATTATGGGTCCGGGTATGTTTACCCAAAATATTGACCGAAGTCACTCAAACTCATTTTAAATGCAAAATTCATCATTTTTCACAGATTTTCACAAAATTACTTTCCGCCTACGCGCCCGGACTGCGCACACAAATTGAGGTGATGCCGAAAGAGGTTTTTAAGGCCTCAGAATGCAGAATTTACTTTTAAAATAAGTGATGACCTTTTGAGTCATCACAACAAGAGTTTATGTTATCTGCCTTAACTAGAGTTTTTGAGTAACCCTTGAGAAATGAGCACATGAATGTACTCTTTTTTAATATGTTTAAGTTTCCAGATCAAATCATGTTTCCATTCAAAAAGAAAGATTTAAGTAATTACATAGTTATAGGGTAATCTAGTTTCCATCCAAATAGAGAGATTCAAACAATTATATAGCAACAGAATATTCATAAAAGAGAGTTTATGTTATCTATGTCACTGCTAAAACATCAAAGACTTAAACACAACACAATATTTATTCAAAAAGATGCAACTAGTAGATAGACACGTTTGTTAAAATATCTTAACTATAAAAAGTATATAAGTAGGAATATTCTTCTCAGTAAAATGTATTATTAGAAGATTGAGTAAAAGCAAAAACCAAATTATTTTCTTTCTGTCTTGTATAAGTTTGTGGTGAAAATTTTAGATGGCATGGCACTTGAACCGGCAGCACCACTATTATATGCTGGCATAATAATATACAGTCCATTGAACCATTTTGGTTTCAAACAGAGTGGATTTAGAGGAGGAATTTTATTAGGAGGAGTAGGACACATGGGATTGAAAATAGCAAAGGCAATAGGACATCATGTTATTGTCATTAGCTCTTCAAATAAGAAGAGACAAGAGGCATTGGAACATCTTGGTGCAGATGATTATCTTATTAGTTCAGACACTACACAAATGCAAGAGGCTGCTGATTCACTTAACTTGGCCATCCTCTTGAACCTTATCTTTCTTTGCTTAAAGTTTATGGCAAACTTATCTTGATAGGAGTTATTAACACCCTTTTGAAATTTATCTTCCCTATGATTATGCTTGGTAGCTCATTGAACTTATTTATGCTGGCTGTATAACATGTTCGGACGAAATACATTATTACAATAAGTTAAAATTGGTCTCTAACAATATATTGTGTTAGTACTTTCTCAGAAAAGTCGATTGAAAATGCTACTAATTAGATAATAAAGATTTTGAATAAATTATAAAGGCACTTAGTTACTCATTTGACAAGAATTAAAATGATTTCTCATATACACAAGTTTATGAGAAAACAACATAATCTGGGATAGACAAGGAAGTATATAGGTTGTTAATTTCTCATATTGCAGCAGAGCCTACTTCAATTGGATTATGTGAAAAATAATAATTTAAGAAAGGTTAACTCAACTAGAATTCAAACTCTAAATATTTTTGTTCATAAATTATGTTCTTCAGGCTTCTAAGCAGATAAATATGCCCAACAACATAACTTCTAGCATTTCCAAATAGGTTTTTCACAAATACTGAACAAATGATGAGGAAACACAAATCATGCAGCATCTACTCCTTGTTACTGCCGCAATATCAATAAATTATCACGATTACAATAAAAATCGAGAAGAACTTACAACGAAGATTGATTTCCACTGAAATGTTTGAGGAAAAAATACGGAAAAAATGAAGATGAAGCGGAGAGAAAGAGGAAAGGAGATGACCGCTGTCTTCAGAAGTGAAGAAAAGAGGACAAGTACGAGGTTTTAGAGTTTATTTGGTTGAGGGTAATTTTGGCATTATAAAAACTTATAATGGACTAGAAAGTAATTTTATTAGTCAAACTAAAATAGCTTTTAAACCAAAAACGGAGAAGTTAGGTTCAACCAACTTGTTGTTTTCAGCCTTTTAAAGCACTTTTTAGCTTTTCTTAAGCAGCTTTTTTTTTATCAAACACTGTAAACACCCTCCATATTTTAAAGCCATTTAGAGGTAATTTTGTTACTGTCTATTTTGATATACTTATTTATAATTATTCTTTGGATAATCATCTTTTGCATGTTAAAAGCGTGCTTGGTATACTTAGGAAAGAGAAACTCTTTGCAAATTCTATGAAGTATGATTTTTGTGTTGATAGGGTGATTTTCTTGGGGTTTGTTGTGAGTGGGAAGGGCATAGAGGTTGATGAAACGAAAGTGAAAGCCATTAGAGAGTGGCCAGTTCCAAAGAGTATGTCACAGGTTAGGAGTTTTCATGGTCTCGCTAGTTTTTATTGGAGATTTGTTAAATGTTTTAGTGCAGTAGCTACTCCTTTGACTACACTAATTAGAAAGTATAATGATTTAAATGAGGTAAGTATCAAGATAAGGCTTTTGAATTATTGAAGAAGACGCTTAGTTCAGTCCCTTTGCTACAACTACCCGATTTTAGTAAGACTTTTGAGGTTGAGTGTGATACTTCTGGGGTAGGTATAGGTACGGTTCTTATGCAAGACCAAAAATATATAGCTTACTTTAGTGAGAAATTGAGTGGAGTAATCTTAAATTATTTTTTCACGGTCCAAATTTCTACTATAGGCCGTGATGGTGCCCAACGTCGCCGCTAGGCAAGCCAACGATAAATTGTCCATGTAATTGATCATTTTAATATTTTTAAAGTAATTGATTTTAATAAACAAGATGGTGATTAATAAGTGATTGCAGTAATGTAAAGCATAAAATAACAAAAGAGTAAAACAACGAATTTAATACCCAAAACTATGAAATGTCTACTAGAATATTCCAAAAAATTTGGTATCACAAGTGCATAAGCAAATTAGTAGAATATACAAAACCTCCTATACTATTGTCTGGAGTAAGATAGAAAGAAAATAAATATAATAAGAAGAGACTTAGGGCGTTACAGAACGGGCATAGGGAGCAGCTCACCACTAAGCCTATAGGTAACGGGGAAACGCGCCTGAATAGTCGCTGGATGCAAATGCCTCAGATCCTGCACGATTATTGCAGAAGTGTAGCGTGAGTACATAAATAACATGTACCCAGTAAGTATCTAGTCCAACCTCGAGGAAATAGTAACGAGGGGTCGACATCGACACTTACTAAGGGTCAATAAATAAAGTGCACAAATTATAAATAGGCAGGGAATACATCAATAATAACGAATTAATGAACAATAAATAAGTGGTTCTTTAACTAAATATCGGTTAGAGTCTCCAACTATCACATACTAATTTCAACAAGTAAGAGCCACCAAGCATTTACAAATTCTCAAATCTTGGAATAAATATCAAGTATAATCGAACTCCAAGCAATATCATGCACGATTTATGCTAAGGTCGTATGGCCCCATCCAGAATAATGTGTATACTACCGAGGGTCGACCGGCGTGAACCATAGATGCATCTATTATACTGCCGAGGCGTTCGTCCCGATCCACAGGAATGGAGAATACTCAACGAACTCCGATTAATAGCTACTATGTAAAATAATACTCAAGGGAGGTATAGTTTCCACCACAGTCAATTAACCTGCCAAAACTCAAAGTAATGAAGTTCGGTCTTTACAAATCCTTTATCAAATACCAAATATAATTAAAGTAATTAGACTAACAAGTTGAGTACAAATAATACATGTAATATATGGTAGAGTCCTAAAACTACCTGGACATAAGCACTCTCGTCACATCGCGTGCACGTAGCACCCATAATTATTAACAAAACAATCATTTATAGTACTTATGGGAGAATTTTCTCTTACAAGGTTAGGCAAGAGACTTACATCATTTTCAAGTTCTCTTCCCGGTCCACAATTCACACTAAAGCCTCAAACCGATGCCACGCAATATATGCTCATAAGTTTATAATATAACATTAGAGTAATTACCCAACCCAAATTGGAAGACTCTTAAAATTCACCTCTAAGCCAAAAATCACATCAAACAACGTCGATTTTACTAATCACAACTCAATTCAAGCCTATCGAAACAATGAATATCCGACCTCCAAAACTAACGTCGAATCATACCAAAACAACTCTGATTGAACTCAAATTTTGAACACAAGTCATAAATGATACGAAGGACCTACTCCAGGCTCGAAATCCTAAATGGACCTCGATAATACCAAAGTCTACTCCAAAACAAATTTAAAGAACTTGAAAACCTTCAATGAACCAACTTTTGACATTAAGCGCCGAAATGCTCCTGGTTCACCCGTAACCCGATCTGAACATACGCCCAAGTCCAAAATCATCATACAAACCTATTGGAACTGTTAAATTTTGGTTCCGAGGTAGTTTACTAAAAATGTTGAATCAAGTCAAACTTGGCCATCTTAGGTCGCTATTAAGGAACCAAGTGTTTCGATCTCAATCCAAACTCTTCAAACCTAGTCAACCATCCCCGTAAGTCATAAAATAGTAAAGTCATATACGGGGAGTCTTAACTAGCGGAATAGGGATCTAGAAAGCAAAACAGTTAGTCAGGTTGTTACATTCTCTACCTCTTAAATAAATGTTCATCCTCGAACGGGTCTAGAATCATCCCTAGAATGCTGAATATGTGTGGATACCCGCGTCGCATGTCCTCTTCGGTCTCCCAAGTCACTTCCTTGACTGGTTGAACCCTCCACTGGACCTTTACCACAAAAATCTTCTTGGACCTCAATTGGCGAACCTGCCTATCAACAATGGCAACTGGCTCCTCCTCATAATCCAAGATCTCATCTAGCTAAACCGTGTTGTAATCTAAAACATGTGACCTGTCGGAATGATACCTCCAGAGAATAGACATGTGGAAAACTGGATGAACTTCCAATAAACTGTGAGGCAACACAAGCTCAAAAGAAACCTCCCCAACTCGCCTCAACACCACAAATGGGCCAATAAACCTTGGGCTCAGCTTGCCCTTCTTCCCGAACCTCATGATTCCCTTCATCGGTGAGACCTCAAGAGAACATTTTCGCCCACCATAAATGATAAATCACGCACCTTCTGATCCACGTAACTCTTCTGTCTAGAATGTACTGTGCGAAGTCTCTCCTGAATCAACTTTACCTACTTCAAGGCATCCTTCACTAAATTAGTGTCATATAACCTAGTCAGGCTTAAGCCATCCGATGGGCGAACCACATTGCCGACCATATAAAGCCTCAAATGGAGCCATCTCAATACTGTACTGATAACTGTTGTAATAAAAAAATTCGGCCAAAGGCAAGAATCGATCCAACTGCCCTTTGAAGTCAATCACACATGCTCTTAGCATATCCTCCAAGATCTGAACTATCCGCTTCGACTGTCCGTTGGTCTGTGGATAAAAGGCTATATTGAGCTCTACCCAGGTACCCAACTCACTCTGTACTGCTCTCTAGAAGTGCAAAGTGAACTGAGGGCCTCTATCTGAAATGATGGAAATAAGCACATCATGCAACTGAAAAATATCCTGAATATAAATCAAGGCCAACCTCTCCGACGAGTACGTAGTCATCACTGGAATAAAGTGTGTCAACTTAGTCAGCCTGTCGACAATGACCCAAACAGAATCAAACTTCCTCAACGTTTGCGGCAACCCAACTACGAAATCCATAGTGATGTGCTCCCATTTCCACTCCAGTATAACCATCTACTAAAGTAGGCCATTTGGCCTCTGGTGCTTATACTTAACCTGCTAGCAATTTTGGCATATCGCTACATACTCAACTATGTCTTTTTTCATTCGCCGTCACCAATAATGTTGCCTCTAGTCGTGATACATCTTCGTAGAACCTGGATGAATAGAATACCAAGAATTGTGTGCCTCTTCTAGAATATTCTCCCTTAATCCATCAACTTTAGGAATACATAGACGACCCTAGAGTCGTAGAACACCATCCTTACCAATAGTAACATCCTTGGCCCCACCTTGTAGTACTGTCTCCCTAAGAACTAGCAAGTGTGGATCATCATACTGACGAGCCTTGATCCGCTCAAATAATAAAGACTGAGCCACAATGCATGAAAGAACTCGACTGGGATCCAAAA